GCCGACCCCTGCAATATAACATACTACAGATTCATAATATATAGTACCTAACCCAAATTTGTATCACTTAATAAAACAGCACTTTATGAAGTATAACAACAGAACAGGTCTGGTTGAAGTGGCTACTTCTCTACCTAATACAAGCGTTGAAAAGTCATGAGTCAGGTCCTACAATCATGAGATTTTTAAGAATAATAGATGTGGTTATCTTTATTTGCCTTACGATTTTAAAGCCTAAAGGCTTAATGTTTTCAAGTTTTCCCACAACCTAGAGGGCTAGAGAATTCATTTAAAAAAGGAAAAAAAGCAGAGATTCTCATTATTTACATGATTCTGTGAGCTGGAGCTTTAAGAAAAAACACAAGATACCATGAGACTTGCAGTAAAGAGTTGGCAATTGTGCTACATAACAGTGGCATCTTCTGTGATAACACACAGCACAGGTTCAAATGAGTGCCTTTCCCAAGAGAGGCATAAAAGAGAGAAGTACTAGCTTAGGGAAGTGTGGTCAAGAGCTCTGAGTTGTTGCTTAGGAGCCAGAAATTCCTGAGTTCTTTAACCTGGACTATGACACTGACTCTTTCTGTGACTTTGGGTAGGCCATTGAGCTCTCTATCCCTTCTGTGACAAGGGGACATTACTTTAATCCTCACCTCACCTCTCTGAGATAGGTTATTACTATTTGCAAAGGTCTGGGGAAATGAAACATGTTAGGTACATGTTAAATTAGTATTTTCCAAACTTGGTTTGAGTACTACTTCCCAGGGCAAGATATAAGAGCAAGATATCTGTTGTTAGAACTCAAAGTTCCTAATGCATGTGATGAAGTGTGCAAGGACAATAATGTCTAACTAAAGCATCTCTCACAAAATGAGACGCACACTGTGGTGGGTTATAGTTGCCTCTGAGAGCATGGTGCTGCTACTATCTTCAGCACCCCTGCAGGCTGTCAGCCTACCTCAGCAGATCTGTGGCTGAGCCCTCTAGCTGGGTCACACATTCCAAACTCCAACCAGGTACAACAACTCAGTTGGAAGAAGTTCCTTGCCCTTCCAAGCCAATTATAAATAAAATGGTTTCTTACCCTTCTGGGGCTTAATTCCTTCTCTAGAATTGAATCAGCAATGTTGCTACTGACCTCCTGCCACCAATTGTGGTAGCAAAGGGCCTTAGCCCAGCCTGGTTCCTTTGGAGATACACTAAAGAACACTCACTCCACAATTGCCATCAGGAGCTGCTTTGCTTGCAGCAAACAGCTCCTTTTATTATGGCCTGTTGGGCCTTGATTGGCTGTTGCTCATTCCTAGTCCTTCTAGTTGCTGGAGGACCAGATTTCAATGGTTCCTAAAATGGCTGTCCTGGGATGCTTTTCTAGGGAGGTCCAATACTCACTTCTCCATTCAAATTAAGAGAAGTACTACTTAGAAGGAATTCCATCCAACTTTCAGTCAGAGGGAGGATCATTATGATGCATGGGCTTTAGGATGGGATATTAAAAGGTTATCAACAGAATAGGGAAAGATAAGGGAGATCCCTCAACACCGAGAGTGGGGGAAAAGAAATGAAGGTGGAAAAATGTTGAAACAAGGGATGCTGAAAAAAAGGCACAAATCCAAGATGCTGCAGCACTTGCAAGAAACTAGGTGGGGAAGGCCTAGATTTTAAAGAGTGGGTGCCTAAATAAGTATCCCAATTTTCAAAAGTTCTGAGCACCCCTCAGAGGATGTTGTTGGGAGGAAGAGGCATAAAGCTGTATAATAATTTAGTATGGATAAAAGTTTTGCTGCAGTATGGACTGAAAGATTGGTATACAACTAAATGTAGCTTTTATTTTTATTTTACAAATTATATGCTGTGTCATGTAATACTTGGATACAAGAACATTTTTAGCAAAGTATTTAGTATCAGATTATTAAAATAAAGTGGATTTGTTAGATCCCCCCAATCCATTCTTACTCTAAACCATCCTTATGCATGCAGGTGAATGGGATTAAATATCCTTACTCTATGTAGAGATCAGGCTATCTGAGTTCTGGGTATTGAAGGCCTGGCCCACATACTGTTTTTGTATCAGCATAACTACTGTATTTCAGTGTGTGGTTTTTTTTATCAGATTTTTTTTTATCCGTACAACCCCAGATGTGGATAGTGATAATTGCATAAGGATGCCTTATCCAGTTTAGTTTATTTCCCTTCCCATATGGGAATAACTATAATGGTATAAACACTTCTATAACAGTATCCATACTGCTGGGCTGTGTCACTTTAACTCTACCAGTATAGTTAAAGTAGTACAACTTTTGCACATAGACAAGTTCTTAGGGTTGTAAGATGCCAAAAAATGATGTGATTGCAATGTTAAAATAGAACAAACCATAACAATAGCTGTTGAGACTTAGAATGATGCCAAGGTGATGGCAGTATGCTACCTTTTTTTAAAAAAAACCCCACTCCTTATGTATATACTCTTGGAAGTACACAAAGTATCAGGTAACATTTTGTTGCAGACGTTTTCTTTCTTTCTACTGTAGCTCTCGTACTAAAAAGCTACATTTTAATCACTAGATAACATTAGAGTGCAATAAAATTCTCATTTAAAGCTACTGTGATGGATGTGGGTAACATATGCCAAAATGTCTAAGGGCTGGTCTACACTGGGGGGGAGGGGATTGATCTAAGATACGCAACTTCAGCTACGCTATTCGCATAGCTGAAGTCGAAGGATCTTAGTTTGACTTACCTGTCCGTCCTCACAGCGGCAAGTTGACCGTCGCGGCTCCCCCATCAACTCCGCTTACTCTTCCTGCCGAGGTGGAGTATGGGCGTCGATTCGGGGATTGATTTATTGCGTCTAGATGAGACGTGATAAATCTATCCCCGATAGATCGATTACTACCCGCCGATCCAATGGGTAGTGTAGACGTGGCCTGAGGGCCAGATTTTTAAAAGTATGTTGGTATTGCTGTGGTCAGTGTTGAAATGCATAACTGATTTAGATTAATTTTCATTTTCGAAAGAGACTTAGGTACTTAGGAGCCAAAATCCCATTGACAGTCAGTGGAATTTAGGCGTATAAGTGCCTAAATCATTTTTGAAAATGAAACGTAAACTACTAAATCAGTTAGAACCACATACCTTTAAAAATCTGGGTCTAAGTGACCTAGAAATTTAAGTCTCATTTTTAAAAGTTACTTAGGAGCCTAAATCCCAATGACTTTCACTTTTGAAAATGCAACTTTAAGATCTTAAGTCACCTAGGCACTTGTGAAACTGTTACCCCCTACTTTATCCTACTCGGTCACATTATTCCTTGGTGCAACTCCATTGAATGAATGTTAAGACCCTGACCCCCCACACCCTGCTGCCCTCTGTGCCCACAGGGGAAGCTGAATCAGTGGAGGTATTCACCCAGGAGAGAGGACAAGAAGAGCAACTCCCAGAAGCCTTGGCCCCTCAGCTAACAAGCTGACCATAAACAAGTGTTTCCATGTTTTGAAACATTATCTGCCCTCTCTATATAAGATGCAAAGTTATGTTTAAAATGGTGCTAATTAGTTACCAACACATTTTAAAGCATGACCATTTTTCCTAGTCTAGATATGCCCATTGTCTTTGCTTGCAGTGCACTCAGTGATACATACGACAGGGTGGATGAGCAAAGCATTAAATGGATTTGAACGCATGTGCATGCATACAAACACCCCCACCCACACCCCTGTCTCCCTTACCTCAATGCACGGGGGATTGGGGGGGAGAAGGGGGAGAAGAACAGACTATGTGACCTCTCAAGGTTCTTTCCAGTCCTCTATTTCTGTGATTCCATAATTAATTAAAATTGATAAATCAAGGAAAAGGAAACCTCTTACCTTGTCAGACTGTCTGAATTTTAAGTGCATAAAGACTGAAAAGTCACAGTAAAGCATCTGAATATTTGTTTTAAAGATATTTAGGGGTTGTAATGATTAAATCTAAGATCAAAATCTTCAAGGCCTGCCCAAGTTAAGAACACACACAACCTTCCCTACTTCCAAAAAGATGGTGGTTGTTAGTTAAGAATATATGACTGACAATGGCTTACTTCCTCAAAGCAAATTAGTTAAGTAGCAGCACACTTCCCCATACACAAATAAATAAATAATAAAAATTGTTACACAACTATTTATTTTAATTTAAACTAATCCTTTAGGTACTTAAACCCCAAAGCCAGCAGTTTCTCTGAACTGTCCACAGATCCACTCACTCCCCTAATAATAGAATATCAGAAAATCACTGCTCATTAAAATGAGAAAAGAAGTGTAGACAGAGGTACCACTGTACAGAGAGAAACCAAACTATTAAGATCATTAATATATGGATGCATAGGATACTGGCAATTAGAGATGGAAAAGTCCTGAGATCACTGAGTGTTAAAGTACAGAATGTCTTTTATGATGCTTAATATAAGAGCACATTTTGAATTTCTGTAGGTTTTTTGTATTGAAGAAGCATTATGTAGAAAAAGGAGATAAATTCTGGTAGTGAAAGTAGTACAGGACTAGAGGTAGGAAAACTGCATTCTCAGTTCTGTCACTGATTTGCTGTATAAGCTTGTCAAGACCTTCTGTGCCACAGTTTCCCCATCTGTAATATGTGGATAATTAAGCTTACCTACTTCATGTCAGGTTTGTTTTTATGGAGGGTGAGGGGTTAGGTTTAATTAATGTGCTCTGAGATCAGGTGAAAGTCACTATAGAAGTACATAGCGTTGTTGTTGTTATATGTATGTAATAGGGCTGTCAAGAGATTAAAAAAATTAATTTCGATTAATTGTGAGATTAAAAAAGTAATGCCAGGGACCAGCCAGATAACTATTTTTGTGAATCCTAACTTGCTACTTGAAAATTTGCTGCTGTTAATTACGCTGATCAGAGGGTATCCAACATTTCAGCCACTACCACCAAGTTAAAGACTCTTTCGGATGGCTTGTGATTCTTGAGTCTTTCCTTATTATGTTTGGACAGGGGAGTAGCCAAGGCATGGAGCCAGGCTTACTTTGGAGAAGGCTCAGGCCCAGTGCTGCTGGACGAAGTACGTTGTACTGGGAACGAGCTGTCCATAGAACAGTGTCCAAAGAGCTCCTGGCGAGAACACAACTGTGGCCACAAAGAAGATGCAGGAGTTTCCTGCACACCTCTTACAGGTAGTCTCCTGAGCAATTAGCATATTGATGATTAATTACAGACCCAGGATTGAGAGATTTGGAAGAGTGATATGTTTTAGAATTGTTGGTTGCACTGAAGCCAAGCAACAGGCAGTAGTAAAATCTGCCAGCCCTGTCCTGCAGGACCAGCTGTAAGCATGTGTGAAACTTGCAACTACAGAAGGTCTTGCTATTCAGCAAGATGCCTTTACATCTCAGAAACCAGTTGAGTAACCAATCTCCCTTCTATGCAGAAGGTGCAAGATCCATGTACTGTGGGTCATCCATACATGCAAATCAGGAGCATAATTTGGCTCATATAAATTTACAGCCATATGCTGCTCTCATTTTGTAATACTTCTCCCACCAACAACAATAGATATTTCGATGTGGAGCGAGGGCTGTTGTTTGGTCACCATCAAAAGGTCAGCATTTATCAACAGTCATTCTCCTGTGGTATATGAAATACTGTAGTATTTTGCTGTAAGTGGTATCTCAGCTGTGTAGTGGAAGTAAGTGAATGTTGACTTTTTAATGGCAGCCATGGTATATGGCGCTTAATTTGGAAATAAAGAGAATATACAAATGAATGTGTAGAGCCACAGATAAACTGTATACGTTGACATTGCAAAGTAAAAGCCCAGTCCTGCAAACTAGTCATGTGAGTAAAAGTTGGGAGGATCAATGATTTAAAATTTTTTCCATTGCACTTGAACAATTGCTACATATAAAGCACTGCACAGCTGACAGGTACATGATTTTTTTTTTCATCTTCTGTTCAAACATTATTGCCAGACATGGTACCCCTTTGGTCTGACCCAATACCGTAAATTTTGTTTTTACTTTTCCTGGGGAATGACAAGGTAATTGCATCTTAAGCAGAACTGATTCTTGCTTTTTCTTACTTGCTAATGCCACAGATGGTGCAATAAGACTAGCAGGTCGGAAAGGCAGTCATGAAGGACGTCTGGAGGTACATTACAGCGGGCAGTGGGGCACAGTCTGTGATGACGGGTGGACTGAGCTGAATACACAGGTGGTTTGTCGGCAGCTGGGATTTAAGTAAGATCCTTTTATGTGAGAAAACTAAACGCTTGGTTTAGCAGTGGTGATAAAACTTTGCAAAATACTGTCTATACTCTGCAAACTATGAAATGTGCTGTGTTGTCTTTTTTATCTAATATTCGCATGAGCATCAGTTTTGTATTGTGAAAAGCTTTGTAGATCGCACTGCAATAAGAAACAGAACACTGAACAAAAAACAAAAAGTAATTTCCTAAATGATTTATGAAGCTGGTTGTTCTCAGATTTCGAAGAACATTAACACAGTGCTGCTCTGAGCCAGTTTGATGTGTTTATGCCAGGGGTCGGCAACCTTTCAGAAGTGATGTGCCGAGTCTTCATTTATTCACTCTGATTTAAGGTTTCGCGTGCCAGTAATACATTTTAACGTTTTTAGAAGGTCTCTTTCTATAAGTCTATAATACATAACTAAACTATTGTTATATGTACAATAAATAAGGTTTTTAAAATGTATAAGAAGCTTCATTTACATTAAATTAAATTAAAATTCAGAGCCTCCCGGACTGGTGGCCAGGACCCGGGCAGTGTGAGTACCATTGAAAATCAGCTCATGTGCTTCCTTTGGCCTGCGTGCCATAGGTTGCCTTCCCTTGGGTTTATGCTATCAAATGAGTAGAGGAAGAAATCAAGGGGAAGACTCTTATTGCCTTCCCTGGGCTTTGGTCAGGCCTTTTGGGAGAATTCTTAATGGTTATTTTCAGGATGGGCTGTGAGGAAAATTCCTCCTTGAGATTAAAAGAACTTCATAGCTCAGCCATAACTTCATACTACTGAAGTTATAAACAGCCACCTACAACAGACGTGTTTCATGGAGACACATTGCACTCATAGACCCTGTTTCTTCTCTGCAGGATACCAAAAACTCCCATTCTCAATCTCCGTGAGAATCACTTTTACCCTGGAAGAGGAGAATTGTGCCTCTGAATTTTTGAAATACACCTCTCCCCTGATATAATGCGACCCATCCCATCTCCTAGAACTGGAAGGGACCTTGAAAGGTCATCGAGTCCAGCCCCCTGCCTTCACTAGCAGGACCAAGTACTGATTTTGCCCCAGATCCCCAAGTGGCCCCCTCAAGGATTGAACTCACAACCCTGGGTTTAGCAGGCCAATGCTCAAACCACTGAGCTATCCCTCCCGATATAACACGAATTCGGATATAATGTGGTAAAGCAGCACTCTGGGGGGCTGCATGCTCCGGCAGATCAAAGCAAGTTCGATATAACGCAGTTTCACCTATAACGCGGTAAGATTTTTTGGCTCCTGAGGACAGCGTTATATCGGGGTAGAGATGTAATATGTGCTATGTGCAAAGAACTGAGCTGAAATCCATAAAACTCCATCACCACTTCCTCCAGTCTCTTTTAGACATTTGTGGCCTCTTAACAGAAAGATCAGAAACTTTGTCTCACTTCAGTCCCTAGACATGCACCAAGTTCCTTTCTATCATCCTACTTGCTGGCTGAGGCCAAACACATTTTGGAAAGAGAAGCTGCTTCACCATGCTAAACCAAAAGTCTGATTCTGCCAATCTTTTGCCCATGGAACTCCCATTAAAGTCACTGAGGCTTACCCATGGTATAGGTATTTCTGTATCTAGCTCAAAAAAATTAACAGCTATGCTCTGGAAAACTATTTTTTAAAGTGCATCTTTTACAAAACTCCCATTCCGATGTCATATATTTATTCTGCATCACCTTTCCTATTGTGTCTGGTTACAGAGATAACTATGAGCAAATGGAATTTCTTTTACTATGTACATTGCCTTTCTCTTGCTTCATTTATTCACTCTCTGAAGTCATAATCCGTTATTCATGATACAATAGAAAGTAATTCTGCTATAGTACTTCCAGGATTGTGGCATTTCCAAATAAATCAGGCAGGAGGTAAAGGGAATTAGAAAAGAGAAAGCTTGATAATAAACAATGACAGAAAATGGAATACAGAATATAATGTCTATGAGCCCTCAGTTCAGCAAGGCACTTGAGCACATGCTTGACTTTAAGAACATGCTTAAGTCCCAAAATCAGTGTTTAAGTGCTTTGATGAATGAGGGCCATAAGGGTAATGTTTTTCAAGTTTGTTTGAATGTGACAGTCATTCTTTAAGAAGACCTTGAGCCCTGATTTACCCTGGAAAAGGCATAAATAGCTCCCCATTGACTTTAACAGAAGCTGAACTTTCTTTTGCCAGAGCTAAATTTGCCTATTCTCTTTGTGCTTGAGAGCAGTTGGTTTTATCCACCCACAAAGAATCATTTCCTTTTCGGTGCTGAAGTATCATATATCCCCAGTGCAGTATTGCTCATAAATTATGCATACGCATTTGTTACACAGGTATGGAAAAAGTGCATCAGAAAGCTTCTCAGAAGAGAGTACTAGGCCTATCTGGTTGGATGATGTCAGTTGCTCAGGAAAAGAATCAACCATCCTTCAGTGCTCAAAGAGAGAGTGGGGAAAGCATGACTGCAGCCATCAGGAGGATGTCAGAATAACCTGTCACCCAGATAATGACAGCCATAGATTCTCACTGGGTAAGGCATTCTTTGTAACTAATGAATGTCAGCATTCCTCTATGTACAGATTCAAGCAGAATGCAGTCTCTTTAAAGATGCTACAAATTTGAATCTCCACTTATTCTGCTGCCTGTACATAGTTAGGCTTTCAGTCAGTCAGAGATGGGCATATGTGTATGTGAAGGGAGAGAGAAAGCTCTCCCCTTGAAGAGCACATGGAGCTGTTAAGGTTGCTTATGGGAACATCAATATACAGGGCATAAGGAAACAATGTTAATCTGTAATGCAGTGAATCCAGAGCCAATGAAAGTTAAATCTGTGTCTGGATGGGGTTTTAGTCCCAGTGAGCCCCTTCTGATGGCATATTGACTTTCACTTAGTACTCTGCAAGTTGTAATGAACTGAAAGAATGATAAATCAGTAGTACACCTCCCTATGGACTTAGGTTCTTACACCCCATCTAAAAAAGAGAGATTGGAGAAATAGAGGGCATTCAGAGATGGACTGTGAAAATGATTAGAAACATGGAATTACTTCTGTATTATTATCATTATTAGTCACTTGTATTACAGTAGAGCCTAGGAGCCACAGTCATGGACCAGGACCCCATTGTGCAAGGCACTGTACAAACACAGAAGTTGTTTTCTGATGTGAAATATGGTTAAGTTGCATTAAAGAGAAGAAACAAACTATTATGGCCAAGATTTTAAAAAATGTGTGCCTAAAGATAAGTGTCGAAATCCATAAGTAGTCTGGCTATCAAAAATGTCACACATTGACTATCATGGGAGCTACAGGTTGCTCAATACTTTTGAAAATGAGGTTACTTATTTAGTTGGCTACATATGGATGTAGGAGCTTATCTTTAGATACATATTTTGTAAAATCTTTGCCTATATTTTTAAGTTTACCCAAGTATATTGTAGTAGTTGTTGGGTCTTGGATTCTCAAAGGAACCTAGGGAAGTTATTCTCCAGCTCCCAGTGAATTTTAAAGGGATTTGGGTGCCTAACTCCCTGAGGTTCCTTTGAAAATAATACAGTATTTTACTACATTTTTTTCACATCTTCAGTCTTTTTCTTGTCTCTTCCTTCTTCTCTTCCCTTCAAAACCTCCTGCTCCCCAAACTCCACAAATTATTTATTATTAATTATTATTATTATTATTATTGTGGTATCATACAACCAATGATTACATATGGGTGAGATTGCTACAGTATGTTTGCTAGAAATAAACCTTCTCATCTCCCATATAACAGGCATTCAAATCATGGCGGCTGTCTGCATAGATGCAAACTATTTACGCTGCTGCATTTGAGAGACTATATAACATAATCCTAGCTGAACAAGATTCAGTTCAGTTAAATGTATCCATAGGGTAACATTCTCTTATCCCCCTCAGTTCACCTGAAAGTCATATTAATTCCACACATCTAGACTTATTTGCTAAAATATAACAAGATGAGGTAACAATAAAATACATATATTTTATTGCTAAAATCTTCTTTCCCTATCTGGGTAATATGAGTATAATTTACACTAAAATCATGTTCTTCCAGAATAGCACTTCATTACAACAGAAGAATAAAGATGAGACTGAGATTTGCTGTAATGTTTCTGGTTGGACAGAAGACAAAGGCTATATTGTTACTATTTGTTTCCTAACACTTGAGAAAGTATTAAATATTTCCTCTAAAGAGGAATTCAGTGGAGGAAGAGTATAAGAAAGAGTATTTTTAAATATAAACATGAAAGGGAGATAGACAACTGGTTTAAGACACAAATCACATTTTTGTTAAAAAAAAATAATGCTCTGCAGATGTTAATTTGTAATTCATTTTTTATTACACTTAACAAGTTTGGGTTATGAATTCAAATATTTCCCATAGAGTGGTGAGGAACCAATAACAACAACAAAAAGGTTTGTTAGTATATAAGACCCAGAAAATGTAACTGACTAGAAATTAAGAGAAAGTGAGCAATAAATGTAATTGCGCAGCCTGAGTTAATTGCAGAATGTAAATATATGGTAAACTGTAAATAATAAAAAAAATTGAAGTGAAAAACATTTTAATATTAAAAATAATTCTGTTTTAAAGCTTTTTCGCTTTTAATAAGATAATTCTGGGTGAATTCAGCCCAATGACTAATGCCAAATTAACACTAGTTTTGCTAAGGGCAAAATCTGGCCCATTATTTGCTCTTCCTCTTGGGTAGGCAGTAATTGTCACTGGCTTTCTAGCTAAGTTGTCTTCCATTTGTGGGAGAGTGAGAAGGAATAATAGCTTGTCCAATTATTGGAAAGAACTCTAATGTAAAGTATTAGAGATATATCAAGTACTACTTACCAAAAGATTTAGGAGCTGATTCTCATTTACACAGAGTTAAGGGGCCTCAAATTGAATTTATGCCCACTTTAAGGCTCTGGCTCTGCCCAAGAGTTGAAAAAGGGCATTAGTGTAAATGAGAATTATACCCTTAGGGCTTTTTATGATACAGTTTTTTGAAACTTGCAGTCCAAGTACTTAGCTAGAATAATAATATATGCAATTGGCCTTTGGGTAAGATTACATAATTAGTAAAAATCTCACTAATTCATATCAATGACTGGGAGACTGATTTTGCATTATCAAATTTTCTGAATGAGAGTAAATGAACAAACATAATTTAAAAAAAAGCAAAGGAAAATCTATAACAGAATATACTTTATTTAGTTGGACAAATGTAGTTTAGTTTTAATTATGTTAATACTCCAGAGTATACTAGTCAAGATGCTGGAAAATACTTTGTATAAGTAATAAATTCATAGTAACATGGGCTAGTACATTTGTTGCTGGGCTGTAGTGTGAGCATACTGTGTGTGTGTGTGGCTTGTGTGAGTGATTGTATTTATCGGTGAGGTTTAGCTAAATCCTCCTGTAAAAGTCTTCTATGAAGAATATGGTCTGCTCAAATGGGTAGCGTGTGGGTGTAGCCTCATAACACAAGAATCAACCAGATTGTTCTCTACTGTTGGTGAAAAAACTGGGCTGTGTAAGTTCCAGTCAAGTTATAAGCTATGCTACATATTTATATGTAATAGAAGAAACCGATGAACCCTACAGTTTAAAGCATAAGGAGTACATTGGTGCTTCATGATTTGTTGTAATGTGTATAAAATGCTTCATGCTCCCTTCCATGACAAAATACATGAATACTTTAACAGATGATATCATTAAAGTGGAAATCTTGTTGAACATAAGCGTCAGTTGACCCCTAACCCTGGAATGTGATGAAATCACCTAAAATACTAGTTTTTGTTTCTACTATTGTGTAACTTATTCCTAGGTCCTCCCATCAGGCTGATGGATGGTGAGAATAAGAAAGAAGGACGTGTGGAGATTTTTATCAATGGCCAGTGGGGCACAATTTGTGATGATGGATGGTCTGATAAGGATGCAGCTGTGGTCTGTCGACAGCTTGGCTACAAGTAAGAAAAATCCTTTGACTATTCTTCAAGTTATCTGATTACCATATCTGATAGCACAAAGTGTGTGTAATTGAGTATTACCTGACTAGTCTGTGTAGTATACTTTTACTCTGCTATACTTGAAATATATAAAAGTAAAGCATACTACAATTTTACTACTTCTTCATAAAGAAGCTAATATTCCTCAGAAAAGGGGCAGTAATGCCAAAGCATAATTGTCTTTACTAAGCTCAGCTAACAACTGAAGTGTAGGCTAAAAGCAGTTATTGAAAAATGTGTTTAATAAAACCAAATATTTCAAGATGACTAAGCTACTGTATAAATCCTATATTTTACTTATTTTTGTGGCTATTCATATTATATATGCACAATAGGCCAAATTCTCATTTATACTCAACTTCTGTGAGTTGCACCGATGTAACTGAGAAGAGAATTAGGCTCAACATATCTGCTCAATATTCTTTCCTGCTCTGAACTATTTTTACCTTACTTCTTCGATTATAACTGAGCTTGGTTTCCAATCTTCCTAAAGTGCTAATGAAGTTCAAGGAAATGAATTGCCACATCCTTCAGGAATGGAAAGATAATGGAAACAAGAAGAAAATTAACATTAAAAAGAATGTCCTGGGGTGTAGCCTAGAGTTGAGTAGTACAGATAATGGTCAATACAGAAATAATTATCTGTATCTAGAGATTCTGTATTTAGAAATTCTTTGTTTTTTTATTTTATTTGTATTGTAATTATTGTTTCTGGGTTTTGGTGATAAATGACAATTATCTTAATTTATATAGCACCTTTAATCTCGAAAGATTTTAAACTGATGCACATGGACATAATTTATCTATCACCTGAGATGTAGCCATGTTTGGGGTGAAACAAAGGTAATATTTAACAGTTCAGTGTAACATTACACATTAAAAAAGGAAAGGTAGTACAGAATGTATATCCCAATGAAACTACAAAGGAGTTACGTATGGTCAAGACAGTAAAACCAGCTTTGAATTTGGCCAAACTATTAGGGACAATGATCTTACTCATGCAAAGAGCTCAATGTAATTGTTTATTGATCACAAGTAGTTTTTATAAACTATGATTTTATTAATATCTATGTGCTGTGATCTTGAAAGACCTCAAATAGTTGTGAAGTCTTAAGTGGCTTTAATGACTTACTTCATTTTCTATCTAGTCCAAAAGATAGCAACTCCAGCAGCACGCTGCCCAATGCCACAAGGCATCGGTATTGCTTTAGTACTGACTCAAAGGTAAGAGTGCTAGTCCCTGAATCAACAGCACTGAGAGGTTTTTCGTTCATTTACTGACCTGCCCTGACCCTGCTTAGTTTGTGAGATTTGAAGGGATCATAACACAAAGGAGCCTGGCTGCAGGGTACATGATAATAACTTGAATAAGCCTGCTGAAATAAAATAACAGAGCTAACAGGAAAAAATATTTAATTAAAAAAATTGCAACTTTTACATGCCACTGGTGAACAAAGCCACTCAATCAGCCTTGCACTGCTCATTAGAAATTTCTTGTTGGGGCACTAGGAATCAAGGTAGGTGTGATGGCCAAGGACAGACTTATATTATAGTAGTGCTAATAAGATCTGAAAATTGTCTAGAAAAGGCTGCTTTGCTTTGAATGTTTTTTCAAATAACTTCCAAGCTAAAGAACCTTATAGATTTGTATTATTTCCTACTGAGTCATTTAGTCTGCTTCTTACTCAGCCTACTCAGATGCACAGGCTTTTCATATTTCTGTCACAGACACACCAAACCCACTCACTCATTCCCAATATAGTAGGGTACATATCAGCTGAAGGACTCGGGGCAGAGTACAAATCTTGGATATTTGGGGATTCTGATAATTCAAAGAGTCAGCCAGCACACTTGGAAGTCAGTGCTGAGGACTGGTTTTCCTATTCCTTGCTTGTTCAGTAAATGGTGACAGCTACACTCCAGGAGCTTGACTTTGCTCTTATGTGCAGCCATATATGTGAGAACAATCAGGTCCGAGGATTTCACTGCATATATTTGTTTGCGCTGGTTCAGATTTCAGTCTGAGTGCTGATTTGAGTGTCCCATTACAAGGTTAAGATCTTCTATTTACACACTTAAGTTTGAAATTGGGCTCTGTGAGTGCTGCTTTTTAGAAACAAAACTAGTCTTTTTCTGGAAAATGTTGGCAAAGAGCTAAATACTGAAGCTGACATCAATTTTCATTAAGAATGGCGATGGAACTAAAAGTTCATACTGAGGTATTATTTTGCACTTACAGCACTGCTACTGGGAAACTTAGGTTGTCTGACTTTACATTTTTTTCCTGGAAAATGTGAAGCCTGTAAATCATACATACATATTTTTGACTCAGGCCAGCAGGGGAGAGGAGATTTCCTTAAAATGCAGACTTGTGCAATAGAGAGTAAAACAAATTAATTAATAGTTGTACTGTATATATGACTTCCATGGTTAACAAGGAACTATGTTTTTATTTTTACAAAATACTGATTTGTAACATTAATAACCTTTTTAATTAAGATTTGTTTCTGAAGTTGAATCTGGAAAACCTAAGTTGGCAAGATGTCTAGGCCCCAATTAATAGTACTTTTAAAGCTCTGTCATTAAGCCAGCTTGCATACTTGTAGATTAATGTTAGTAGCAAAAAAACAATCTGAAGAACATTAGAAAGCCATCCTCCTAATGGGAAAAGCAGTTGTGAAAATAATAAAAAAAATTAACGGTGGCTAATCAAAACACGCTTAAAACTGAAAGAACATGCACCTTTCGTGAAGCATTACCTAATGTCTGACAAAGACTAGCAAGTAGAGTAATTTTATAGATAGGGGAAAAGGATAGAAGAAAGATGTTTTAGAAGCTCTTATGCTTGTTGAGCAAGTTAATTGGCATGATGAAAATTCTAAGATTTGGGGCCCTTTTCTGGAAGAACTGGGTTATGAATATATAAACATATATGAAATGAAGATTAGGATATTTTTTTCAGTACAGTTTTGGTAATGTAGCAGAAACTTCCATTCAACCTTTTCCATGCACATTTTCTGTATGGGAGGACAGGTTTTTGTCCTTGTAAGGTATTCATTAACTGGAACATCTATATATACCACTGTGTGCTTATGCGCTTGGTGGGTCTAGTCTACCATATTGGAGTACAGATCCCCGCGTTTTATCTGTGTTTCTTTTACATACCAGCTTAATGCAGAATTCAGAATTCCCTCTTTGTTCTGCAGTAGCAGCTGATGCCATTGGAGGCACAGACAGTGGAATTTTCAGAAGTGCTCTGCAGTAACTGAACTCTGCCCCCATTGATCCCACCTAGACCCCCTCAGCTGGGATCATGGCTTGATAATGAATGAGAAACAGTTTAAAATATTTTATTTTAATGTTTTTTCTAATGGTTAAGCCTATCATATATTTGGTTAATGTATTGGGATCTTAATATCAAAATGTATTTTAGCAAAAGCTTTGTAATTTATTTCAATGCGTGGTTATACTCCCAGTCTACACTGTAGAACAAATTTTGGTCTCTGTTTCTCTGGATTTACACTGGTGTAACAGAGATCAGATTTTTTTCCTTTTATATTTCTGTACTGGGCCATTTTAGGTTCCTACTTGGTTGGATGGGCTAGTCCTCATGCTGTTAGTATGAGCCACTGCCTATAAGCGCACTAGTTCAAGTGAAACTAGCGTGTGTCCGTCTACCCATGCTGCAAATCACCTTCCCAGCCGCTGTGTAGACATACCCTAAGTGCAACAGCAATCCGGTGTGTGTTTTGTTGCTTTTTGCTTTAAATATAAATGCATTAATTTTTTTTATCATATTTTGTTTTTTCCAGCCTTCAGCCATTGATCTCTGACTGAAGACAGAGGCTGGAGGTCACTCTACTAATGTCTGGAGCACAGCAGTAAGGACAACTGATAGAAAGGACAGCTTTTTAAACATTATATTCAGGTGCAAAAAATTTGCACAAATATATATATTAGTATTTACATGTGCATTTTCCACAGGGGTGTGTGTGTAAATCAGGAAAATATACATGCAAATGGCAACTTGTAATTTAGTGTAATTTGGGTGCCTAACTCCCTTAGGCATCTTTAAAAATCCCTGATTCACTGTCTCCAAATTAAACCCTTAAGAGGGAGATTGAGGGGGACAGTGTTTACTAGCTGATTCGGTATCCAAACATGGCTGTTTCTTCCCCTTCTGCTCTGTACCAGACACTATTAACTAGGTGACCTACACACTCTGCTTCAATCAGGAAATGATAGCAGGGTATGAAAACAGAAAATCAAATTAAAATCATACATATGTATTAAAGAAATGTACTAAAATTAGTGTCTAAGGCTTGGTCTACACTAAACCCCCAAATCGAACTAAGGTACGCAACTTCAGCTACGTGAATAACGTAGATGAAGTTCGAAGTACCTTAGTTCGAACTTACCTCGGTCCACACGCGGCAGGCAGGCTCCCCCGTCGACTCCGCGGTACTCCTCTCGCCGAGCTGGAGTACCGCAGTCGACAGCGAGCACTTCCGGGTTCGACTTATCGCGTCCAGACAAGACGCGATAAGTCGAACCCAGAAGTTCGATTGCCAGCTGCCGAACTAGCGGCTGGGTATAGACGTACCCTTACTAAAAAGAGCAAGGAGTGGGGCCTTTTGAACTAATTAACAGGATATCCCGATTAACAGATGACTCCATTTTAACAGTAATGCCCCTGCAGAGCTCATCAAGTTACTGTATAAGGCCATGAACCCGGGAGGAACTACTGAGATAGTGATTGAGGCCCAGATCCTCAGAGGTATTTAGATGCCTATCTACCACTGATTTCAGTGAGAGTTAAGCACCTAAATACATCTGAGGCTCTGGGGCCAACCCTGCTGCCTGTCCTGGGGCAACTGTGAAATACCTGCTCTGGTGACCCAGCATGTGTAACTGTAGCTGGAGTGGAAGGTGGTAATTAATATATACACTTTCTGATAAAG